ACTCACAAATGAACTGTGTCTGGGATAAGAATGAGGATGCAACTAGCAAATGGAAATTTACAATCTAAGAAAATGCAGCGCCTGTAGGTGTGTGAGCGGGCCTGCAGGTGTGTGAGCGGGCCTGTAGGTGTGTGAGCGGGCCTGCAGGTGTGTGAGCGGGCCTGCAGGTGTGTGAGCAAGCCTGTAGGTGTGTGAGCGGGCCTGCAGGTGTGTGAGCGAGCCTGTAGGTGTGTGAGTGAGCCTGTATAATGTGTGTGAGCCTGTAAATGATGTGTGAGCGAGCCTGTAGAGTATGTGTGAGTGAGCCTGTAGGTGTGTGAGCCTGTAAATGATGTGTGAGTGAGCCTGTATATGGTGTGTGAGCGGGCCTGTAGGTGTGTGAGCGGGCCTGTAGGTGTGTGAGCGGGCCTGCAGGTGTGTGAGCGGGCCTGCAGGTGTGTGAGCGGGCCTGCAGGTGTGTGAGCGGGCCTGCAGGTGTGTGAGCGGGCCTGCAGGTGTGTGAGCCAGCCTGTAGGTGTGTGAGCGAGCCTGTAGGTGTGTGAGTGAGCCTGTAGGTGTGTGAGTGAGCCTGTAGGTGTGTGAGTGAGCCTGTATAATGTGTGTGAGCCTGTAAATGATGTGTGAGCGAGCCTGTAGAGTATGTGTGAGTGAGCCTGTAGGTGTGTGAGCCTGTAAATGATGTGTGAGTGAGCCTGTAGGTGTGTGAGTGAGCCTGTATATGGTGTGTGAGCGGGCCTGCAGGTGTGTGAGCGGGCCTGTAGGTGTGTGAGCGGGCCTGCAGGTGTGTGAGCGGGCCTGTAGGTGTGTGAGCGAGCCTGTAGGTGTGTGAGTGAGCCTGTAGGTGTGTGAGTGAGCCTGTAGGTGTGTGAGTGAGCCTGTATAATGTGAGTGAGCCTGTATAATATGAGTGAGCCTGTAGGTGTGTGAGTGAGCCTGTAGGTGTGTGAGTGAGCCTGTAGGTGTGTGAGCGGGCCTGTAGGTGTGTGAGCAAGCCTGTAGGTGTGTGAGTGAGCCTGTATAATGTGAGTGAGCCTGTAGGTGTGTGAGTGAGCCTGTATAATGTGAGTGAGCCTGTATAATGTGAGTGAGCCTGTAGGTGTGTGAGTGAGCCTGTAGGTGTGTGAGTGAGCCTGTAGGTGTGTGAGTGAGCCTGTATAATGTGAGTGAGCCTGTAAATGATGTGTGAGTGAGCCTGTAGAGTATGTGTGAGTGAGCCTGGAGGTGATGTGAGCAAGCCTGCAGAAAGCTTCCAAGAGGGCCTGGGCATGCTGGTGCCATTGGTGGAGTGCTTGCTTAGAATGGGTTTGGTTCCTACCATCAAATAAACCAGAGATGGCATCACACATCTGTTACCCTAGTTCTTCAAAGATGGAGGCGAGAAGATTTGAAGTTTGGCCATCCTCAGCTACACAACAAGTTTGAGGCTAGTCTGTGCAAATGCTCAGTGACTCATAGGTATGTATGAAAAAGGTCTTCTTGTGATGAGAAATCCACCCATTTCATTGGGGTATATTTCTCCCCAGACAGACAGGCAGCAGGCACATCCCCAGGAAGGCTGACAATACACAGAGAAGGTGGTGCCCACCATACAGGGTGACCCTGTGGGAGCAGGCAGCCCTTGGCATGCTCCTATTGCCTGTATTGGAATTCCCTCCAGAACCTTACAAAGTTCCTAGCAGCAAAGAAATTACAGTCAGAATGCTTGGATCATTTAAATCCACTTTCTTTTGTTTTATTCCAAACACATATTTTTGTAAACCTGGCATTTCCCAAACAGTGCAAGTGGATCTAGAAGTGACCGCAGACACTGGAGTGCACGCAACACAGCGAGGAGGAGGCACAGCCCTCCCGTCCCAAGTCCTCTTGGGTAGTGTGCGCGGCGGATACCTCAACAAAGCTGTGGACGTGCAAAGGTGGGTGGGTGGGTGGGGGTGCCTGCCATGCAACAAACCACTCAGAAAGTTCAAACGCACACTGCCAACCAGTCACACTGTGCACACCGGGATCAAACAAAACAAACCACACGGAAGCAAAACCCAGGTCAGCGCGCTGCAGAGCACAGAGTGTTACGCCACGTCAGGAGACCTACTCAACGCTCCTCTCGTGCGCTGAAGATGCGAAAGACATTCTAGAAGGCTCCTTTGGCTCCATTGGCTCTGCATTTTCAGCCATTGTCCTAGAAAACACTCTCCACCTCCACCGTGCATTCTACCGCTCCGTGTATCAAATCCCTCATCTACTAAGATTCTGTGTTCCCCGGGAATTGTGAAGTGAAACCCAGTCTCTGGATTTGCTTACTAAAGGGATGGTTCCCCCACTTCTTTGCATACGTCAGGCAAACAACTCTGTGACTGAGCCGTCCGTCCCTCGATGACAATGCGTTGTAGTGCCTCTAAATTGAAACTGGGCACTCCTTTCTTAGGTGTATGTTTCCCAGGCAATCAGCTATAATGCTATCCTTACCTTAAATACATGTGCTCTTGGACCCCAGACCGACAGTGGGGAGGCCAGCATGGGACTGATCTGGACCCCCCAAATGTGAGTGTCAGCGAGAAGGCCTGGGCAACCTATGGGGCCCTGAGCTGTGGATCAGTGTCTATCCCTGGTATACAAACTGTCTTCATGTGCCTATAGCACAAAGAGAGATGCTCTCTCAGCCTGGACTCTTAGGGGAGTGCCTTGACCCTACCAAGAGTAAAATGACAGACTCTAGATATCCCCTATGTGGAAGGATTTGGCAATAGCGTGGGAGGGAGGGGGGAAGGGGAGTTCGGGAAGAGGGGAGGGAGAGGGAACTGGGATTGACATGTAAAACAAGCTATTTAAAATTAAAATAAAAAATGATAAAAAAATACATGTGAATAGTGTTTCCACACCTACCGCATGGGGACTCAACAGGCAGCACACCACATAGCATCCCTGGTCACTGGCATGTCTCAGGAGCATGGCATCCCTGGTCACTGGTGTGTCTCAGGAGCAAGGCATCCCTGGTCACTGGTGTGTCCCAGGAGCATAGCATCCCTGGTCACTGGTGTGTCCCAGGAGCATGGCATCCCCGGTCACTGGCATGTCCCAGGAGCATGGCTGCTGTTTGTTGAGACTATGTTGCCTTTGGCTTTAGTAAAGTAGGCTACACCATATTTGGCGTGGGGGACTTCACATAGCCTGCCAAATGTCTGGGCACTGAGATGCCTTTCAGAGCACTGCCCCAGACCACAGTGACAGGTCACAGGGTGTGCATGGGTCAGTCAGCACAAAGCCAGCTATGCAGGTCCCTCTCGATAGTGTTCTTGTGCTTCTAAATTGCACGGGCTCTTTGCGACAGGGACTCATCTTGGCGATGCTCCTGACTTTTCCTGAGTCCTGTGGAAACTGAGAAGAAGGGGCACTGTTTTTTTTAAAGGGGCATTGCTTTTACCAATTCTCTGCAAGGGTCCTTTTTCATATTAAAAACAAAAACAAAACAAACAAAAAACCCCCAACACTTCATAGTCCAGGCCAGAGAGCTGGTTAAAACCATGGAAGACACAACTAAGACATGGAACTAGACAAATGACAGTGCCCATGAGAATGTCTGCAGGGCTTCCACAGTGAATCCAGAGGCAAGACAGTACAGTGCACTACACAGTGGGCTTTTAAAAGAACGTTCTAGAGAGAGTTAACACAGACATACCAACACACCTGCTCACTTTACCTGATTGCCTAAAAAAAAGTCGAAGTGAAGATGCTGAACACTCAGTCAGGAGGATTGCTAGACAGTGCTCCCCACCCCCGACTGTGTGCCAGGCAGCCACACCCCTAGCTCTCATGCCACCCGGCACTCAGCATTATCAGAAAGGCAAAAAGATGCTTCCTACGGTGACGGCTAGGATTTGCTTCTGGGGCTACCATGTAGTTTTCTTAAAATCAGCATCATGGACTTGTAGTGACTTATTGACACACGACTACACATGAGGGTTTACCATTCATGGCAGGGCACCAAGTGGCCAGATTCTAGCTGAGTCTGCCCTTCCTCCCTGCCCACACTTTCTTGGGTGTGACTCTGCTGCCCAGCTGAACCGTGTGGGTGAGTCGCCATTCTCCACTGACCCCGATGAAGCCATACCCTCTGCAGGAAGCAGGCCAGTGGGGACAGATGGTGCTGCAGTGGTCTCACCACCTAGGATCCTCAAATGGCTTATTAAAGGAAACCAGGACACCATTCACACACACCACCATCATCATAGGACAGCGGCAAATGGGGTTCACGGAGAGTCCACACTCCACACCTACGTGGGATGGCTTCCTACCCTGAGGCTGTGTTCTCTGGAGATCACCAGCAGTCTGCACAGTGCCGGACCCACAGTCCAGACTGTACATGGCTGGTAAAGCCGAGACTCCTTATTTTTCTTTTGATAAAATTTATGAACTGTGTGTGCACTGGGTTCCTGGGCTGCCCCAGCCAGGCAGTGACTCCGTCTCCATTCCAGAGTCAGATGCCACATTTGACTTCTAGGACCAGCTTTGACTTGTGGCTTTTTGGGTTTCTCAATGATGAAGATAGCATTCACTTGTGGGGGAGAGGAGAACACCAAAGCTCTTGGTTCAGAGTTCTTTCTTTGCAAGAAGCTGTCCTCTAGAGGACAGAGCCATCTTGTCAGCAACCACCAAGGGCAGAAAGTTTACAGCCCGTGCAGGCGTAGGACCACAAAAGCCCAGCTTCATGACATTTAGTCAGGGTACTCTGCGCCTGACTTGCTGACCAGATCCAAATGGGCTGAAGCCACCTTGTGGGTTGTTCCCTAAAGTGACATTGTTTCTTGGTTTCCCCTACTTTCTTGTATTCTATTCCCCACTTCCTCACTGCTAGCTTCTGGGAAGACTTCCTCAGTAACTTACTTGCACCCAAGTACTTATTCCAGGTTTTGACTCTTGAGAATCGCACCTAAGACATAAACATAAATCAAGTGGGAGTATCCTCTGGGAAGGAATCTGGATACCACCATTCGGGGACAGCAAGATTGAACTGAAGTTACATTGCAAGGTAACACCATATACACACAGACACAGGTCTTTGCTGAGAGAGCACAGCTTCAGTCCTGGGCTTTGAATCCTGGCGCACAGTGTCTGGGATGAGATGTTATTCTGAGGTTGACCAGTAGTCTATCCAGCGCTTGCTGACTCCAGAGGGCGAAGTGCTTGCTGCATGCGTCAGGGAGGTACAGAGCATCCGCAGTGAGGAAAACAAGCTTTTCATCCCAGCTCCTGTTTCATCCCAGCAAGAGGTCCGCAAGAGAAAGCACTGATACTTCTTCAAGTGCTCTGAACAGGTGCTAACAATTGCAAATGTCTTAGGTGGTCTTGCCATATCCATGGTGCCTTTTGCAGTACTCCAAGCTTGTTGGATTCATTTCATGAGGTCTCTTCAGTTTACTTTATCTGCATTTTTTTAAACAGCAAGTTCCAAAGTACAATAAGTTCTTTCTCTTTTAAAATTTGTATGCAGGTACATATGTGTCCAAGATTTCAGTGCTTGAGTGAATTATAGAACTATTTAATAGAAACAATAAAACATCGATACAAATATAAAGACACGGTCAATATAAAATGCTTACACTTATAAAAAATACTTTTAGGTAACAGTTTTCCCCTGAGGGTTGACCACGCAATGTTGTATCCATAAATATGGCTTTGCTCTGTAGCTTGTCTTTCCGAAGTTCTGAGTTTGTCTGTAATGGGAAGTGGTGGTGGCCCCAGTCACGTGACCTGGCTGGAGGTGGCCATCTCAGGTCGGCACCGGGCTTGACAGGATGAGGAAGAGAACAGCATCAGTGGGGCCTCCGAAAAATCTGGAGAAGATTTCTTTCTTCCAAATATGGAAGATACAAAGATCAGGGACCACAGGCTGGTGATGGGAACATGAGGGCATCACATGACTGGCATGACGGGTCACTGGTTTTTCTGGACCCAGTCCCAACCATCTTCATTCTCTTTCCGGTTTTTCTCGGCTTCGATGATCTCTTTGTACCTTCTGCGGAAGAAGCCCATCTGCAAGACAGGTAGAAGAGGTCTGGGTTAGGACTGGCTGGCTTCTCAGGAAGTCTGGGCTATGAGGAGGCAGGACCCAGCCCTTCCCAGGCCTGGGGAAGCCAGGAGAACGTTTCAGGTGATACTGTTTTTAGAAAACATCCTGGCAACCAAAGAGTGACTCGGTCCCACTTTTCAAACCACACTGACTTCCTGTGGTCTAGTTCCCAGCAAGCTGTTCACTGAAGAGCTTCTGGAAAACTGTTCCCCCAACGGGGTGCCGGGGAACACCAGTTAATGGGTGTTTTTCAAATTTTTTTTTGATTGGAGAAAAAGATAAATATGTCCTGGTCAGTCAAGTTTGGAAAAAGTTGCATTCTTCTAGGCATTTGAGATAGATCATAGTACAGCAAAGGATTTGACAGCTGGGTGGGGTAAGCCAGCATTTCTTGAGCTATTTGCTGTTTTTTCTTCTGTATATGTATGTGTTTATGTACATATGTGTTTATATGTTTGTGTGCTCATATGTACATCTGCATATGTGTTTATGTGCATATAACTTTGTTTATATGTATAGGGTTTATGTGTATATGTGTTTGTGTGTATAGTGTTTATGTGGATGTGTATTTATATATGTATGGACTTATGTGTTTGTGTTTATGTGTATATGTATAAATGTGTGTGTGGATGTGTATATGTGTTTATGTGTTTGTGTGTGAATGTGTATATGTAGAAATGTTTGTGTGTGTATGTGTTATGTGTTTGTGTGTATGTGTATATGTACAAATGCGTGTTTGTATGTATATATGTGTTTGTGTGTATGTGTATATGTATAAATGTGTTTGTGTGTGGAGGTCAGAATCAGATGCTGTTCCTCAGAGCTATCCACTTTGATTCTTTTTTTTTTTTTTGGTTTGTTTTGAGACAGGGTTTCTCTGTGTAGCTTTGTAGGCCTCGAACTCACAGAGATCCACCTGCCTCTGCCTCCTGAGTGCCGGGGTTAAAGGCATGTGCCATCACTGCCCAGATCCACTTTGATTCTTGAAACAAGTCTCTCAGTGGCCTGGACCATGATGAGTAGGTCAGCCTGACCACTAAGCTGTGGGGATCTGGCTGTCTCTTTCTCCCCAGCACTGGGATTACAAGCATAGGCCATCATGCCTGGTTTATACAGGTGCTGGGGATGGCAAAGTACTCATGGACATAAAAAGAAATATTTTTTATAAAGAAGGGCCTCTCCACACCAGTCAGTTTAATCAAGATCACCACCCACAAGGCATGCCCAGAAGCCTACCTCCCAGATGATTCTAGATTCTGCCAGGCTACAAAAAGTTGCTTAAACACAGGACAGCAGCACTGTAAAGACTGTGAGAGATAAGCCAAGTGTGAAGAGCCTCAGACAAATGCAACTTCAGGGCAGGGGAGGGAGGAACAATCCAAAGAAAACCCTAAATCAGGATGAGGAGCCAAGGAGAATCCATGCTGTTGATTCCAGCATGGGTATCATGAATGCCACAGATATGAGAGAAAGTTCTAGATGACAGTGAGGTGGAATGAGATCGCTGGATGCTTTAAAAAGTTTGTTGTGTGAGAGCAATATTTGTCAAATGGGTCCTCAAGTGGCTGTGTCTCTCAGGGCATTAATAAGTTTGTATAAGGATTGAGGATATGACTTAGTTGGTAAAGGCTTTCTGCACAAGCTCAAGGACCTGTGTTTGTATGTGTCTGTGTATGTCTGTGTGTGGGTTTATGAATATGTGTGTGTGTGTGTGTGTGTGTGTGTGTGTACCTGTGTGGGTATGTGCACATCAGTGCAGGTGCATGCAGAGGCCAGAAGGGGGCATAAGACACCTGGAGCTGGAGTTACAGACAGTTGTGAGCCATCTAAATGGGTGCTCAGAACTATACTTGAATTCTCTGCAAAAGAGAGTGCTCTTAACCATCGAGTCATCTCCCCAGCTCCAGAATCAGAGCTCTTATTCATTCTAAGAAGGAAGCGAGATGGCTCACTTCTCATGCCCATGCCGTGGTGGGAGGATTTAAGGCAGCTAATGCAAGGATGACTTGCACGTGCTCATATCATTGTGGATGTCATTCTTGTCACCAACAAAGGGCGGGCACTATCTTCCCCTGCAGACGCCCAGAGCAGGCTCTCTTCTTTATGCAGAAACAGCTTTGAAAACTCCACTCCCCCACCCAGCTCCCCAGGGCCTAAGAGTTCTGACTCCAGTCGTCAACCTTTGAGTGATTATGTGCGTGGGAGGCCGAGTTGCCACGGATGTGTGTGTCTTCTCCAAAAGGCCATTTCTTATAACACAGTGCATTCTGAGGCTGGAGAAGGCTGACTGTGGCAGGCAGGCTGTGCACAGGAGCTCAGGGTTGTCAGATATCACAGACGGAACAGTTTCCCAGATCCATTTCCCAACAGATGGCAGCAGAGTGTTTTATTCTAACAAACCCAGACTGTCAGGCAGATGGAGTGAAAGCTACCAGAACAAAGGGGAAGACTTGGGAATGACTCTGTGGTGTAGCTCCTACCTAGGATGCACAGGGCCATGACTTCTATTCCCAGTACTCTCTCTCTCTCTCTCTCTCTCTCTCTCTCTCTCTCTCTCTCTCTCTCTCTCTCTCTCTCTCTCTCTCTCTCTCTCACACACACACACACACACACACACACTCTCTCTCTCACACACACACACATACACACACTCACACACATATAGACACATTCACTCATACACATACACTTACACACATACACTCTAACACACACTCACACACAGATATACACACATGCACTCTCATACACACTCACACACATACACACACTCACATACATATATATACATACACACACTCACACACATACATACACACACACACACATGCACACTTAAGACAGAGTATCACTATGTAGCTCTGGCTGGCCTGGTACTTACTACATAGACAAGGCTGACTTCAAACTCAGAGATCCACCTGCCTCCACTACTGAGTGCCAGGACTAAAGGCCTATACTACCAGGCCTGGCTGAGAACCCAAATATTGAAGGGAAATACACAAATTCAACACAAAGTAAAAACAACCCTATTATTAACACGTGGAGAAGCAGTAGTATGGCACATTTTATTTTTAAAAAGCCTTTTCCAGGGCTGGGTGGTTGCTTTTTGGACTGCATCAGGTCCTAGGATCAATTCCTAATACTAAGTGTAAAGAGCTTTCCCCTAGCTAGAGCCATGGTTGGCAGGTTTTAAAATACATGTAAGGTACTAAACGTATGGTGAGAAAAATCAACTATGATCAGACTAAAGAACTTAGCCACCATCTCATATGGTAACATTCGTATGTTAAGAACGTTTCATGTTAATCTTAGCAAACCTCAAGGACCCAATACAAATTTTCAGTCTCATGTTAAGGTATGGATACACTGTGAAGCAGAGAGAGAATTGCTATTATTATTATTATTATTATTATTATTATTATTATTATTATTATTATTTGTTTTTCAAGACAGGGTCTCTGTATAGCCCTGGCTGTACTGGAACTCACTCTGTAGACCAGGCTGGCCTTGAACTCAGGGATCACCTATTTCTGCCTCTCGAGTGCTGGGATTAAAGGCTTGCGCTACCACTGCCTGGCTGAGCAGAGTGAATTATGAAATGTCTAACAACTTGCAAGACTTGATGTTCTTTTCTCCCTTCAGGCCTCCTTTGGGCACACATACCTGCTTTTATTAGCATGCCTGGGTATTTGGGAGGGATTCTGGGAAGTCTTGGACTGCCAAATTAAGCCCACCCTGAGACTTCTGGGAAATGATTAGTAACAAGCATACACTGTACCCATCACGACCCCACACTTCCACCCAGTCGTTTCTCCCTAACCCTTTCTGGAATCTTCCAAAGCTTGTGTTCCAGGAGGGGTCAGATGTTTTGTTTATAATTATCCTGTTTGCAGGAGAAACCGCCCTACGAGGAGACTTCGTGACTAACTTCAAGGTTTGTTCAGCTGGAGGACCGGAGAAGCAGAGGGACCTCCTGGTCCCGGCGGTGACCCCAGAGAGCAGCTCCCAGGTGCCTCCTGTAGACTAACACGATGTGTCTCCGAGCCTGCCGGAAAACCGGCAAAGCAAAGCGGCAACTTCTTCTCAGTCGCCCTGTCAGCTGGGCGCTGGGTGAGTCAACGAATCCCGACGAAGAGATGAGAACCAACCCAGGCCTAGGGTGCTCGGTCTCGGTCCAGCTCACGTCAGGGAGATAGGAACAGCAAGACACCTCCAGGGCATCTCTTGAGGGTGCCTCTCCGTGCACTGGCCTTCGGGGTGTTTCTTGGGCAACCATTCCAACGACCTTGGGCATGCTCTTTCATTGGACTAGCTCAGGCCTTGTGTTTATGGACTTCTTAGTTACTTGACTGTTTACACAGCACCGGACCAATATTTATCTCCAAATATAAACCAGTCCCAACACACGTCACTGGCACGTGGTTTTTCCGGGGAGGGGGGCGGGTGGTTTGGGAAGCGTGTGTTCGTTCATGTGTGCACACTTGACTCTACACTCTTTTGAAAAGCAGGGATGGGTTTTCTCGGTCTCTATTGGAGGCAAAGGTGGTGTCCCTTCTGGAGTGGCTGCCACACCTCACATGTTCTCGGCGCCACTCTGCAAACGTTCACGGCTGAGCGCTTTTGCTGCGAGTCAGGAGTGATGCTCTCCACCAATCAAAGCCATGCTCTCTAAGAAAGCTCTAGAGTACAAGGCTCTTGGGACAGTTCCAGCTGATGGAGGCCTCCAACCAGCTCTTGTCAGCAGGGCAGCGGAACCCTCCCTGCACCCTGCGTCTCGGTCACTACACCAGGCAGAGCTGGGTCTTCCTGGCAAAACAATGGCACTCTGTTTCAAATCACCTAGCTTTGAAAAAGCGTCGGTCAGGAAGGAGAGGAAAAGAGACGGAGGGTCCCTGGTTGAAGGCAGGGGGCGCTGTCTTTCACCGCAGGGGTGGCCTGTGTGTCTGGCAAATTGCAAACAAGC